TCAAGCACAGCATGAACTATTATCTACTGGGAAAGGTTTAATGAATTCCTGTTCTGACCAAGGTGTTAGACTGGATGACCTAAAGGGGTTCTTCCAGCTGTACGATTTTATAAATCTGATACCAAAGACATTAGGGGTAAAGGTTTCCCCTGTCCAGTCATGACTCTGAGGGCAGTGCTCATCTTCCCAACATCCCGATTTCTTAGTTGAAGGAGTCAGGGTTGCCTGAAGATACTTCCATGGTCATGTAACCAGCATGACTATACACCGAGGCACACAGAACACTGTTATGTTCCCACTGAAGTGGTTCCTATTTATCTACTCACATTTGCATGTTTTGAACTGCTAGGTTGGCAGGAGCTGAGGCACATAACAGAAGCTAACCCCTTTGTGTAGCACTTGGGCTTGAATCCCAGCTGGCAGCTTTCCGGTTAACAAGTTCAGTGTCTTTAACTGCTGCACCATTGTGCCATCTACCAAAGACATTAGCCACTTCTTTTGGTTAAACTTGTAAGATACTGTTTTCATTTATATAAGATCAGTAAGATAGATAAACTTCCCCGCAGCCTGCTTGTCACCCAGATAATACATGCTACATTGCACTATACAAAGACTTTCTGCACCCATATTCTCCAATAGCACTGTTCTGACCAAGGCTTCCTGAGAGCATGAAGCAAACTCCTTGTCCCGACAAAAAAACTTTTTATTAATATATTGTGCTCATTCACATCCAGCAAAGTCTTTCAAGGGAGGATTTATAGTCACAGATCTTATCTGGCGTAGAGAGCTACTAGGCCAATATTTGCAGAACTGGGCAAGGAGTCTCGAAGAGTCACAAACCAATTAAGTGAACTAATTGTCTCCTGTAAACTCCATTCCCATTTTGCTCCTCTTATTACCTCTGGGAGGAGCCATTCATCGTCCACCTGTGGCCTTACTCCCAAGTCGACCCCTGTTCTTTAACTGTTCCCTTCATTTGGCAACTCTGCGCATGTACACACTGGGAGCAGGCTGCAGCTGTTAGTCTGCCTCATTGATGTTTGAATCTGAAGGCAGCTAATAACTGGCATACAGCTCTGGCCCCCCACTCTGCCGCCGACACAGATCCCTCATCAGAAATTTCCCCAGACTCCAGGACTGGCCCATATTCCTTCCCAATCTCCTCACTGTCCGAATCAGCTGCCAGCTCCTCTAGCTGATGGCAGGCCACAACAAGCACTCGTACGTATTCACCATCACAGAGGAATATGTCCACTGGAGATAAACCACTGGAAGAATGACTGTCTTTACACTCTGCATGTGAGCTGTCCAGGACTTTTTGGCTAAGCATGATAGAGAAAAGAGCAATTTGATTACTTGACTTTTAAAATATATACACTCAAATAGCTGCAAACATTCTCCAAATAACTTTCAGGGATGGGTGGTGAAACAGGAATAAGCCTTGGACAGGATTTATCTAATTCTTATAAGGTATAACATTTCAACTACAATCTTATTTGAGAGTAAGTCTTGCTGAACTAATTAGGACTTGGGACTTCATTGATATACATAGGATTAAATTTACTGTGGAGAAGTTTCTGTCTCCTCGTATTAATAGGTTTACTGGATAATCTATTAACTTCCATTCACTCTCACACTTGTATCTGTTTTGCATAAAGAGAGTACAAATATATTATGACACATCAATTGAGAAATTTTTATCATGCTATTTGGTTAATTAATGTCTCAATAATTAAACAAGCCAGGAGATACACCAAGAAAGCCTACTCTCTGGAGAAAGTTGATTATAAATCTGAATGACCACAATGGAGGGGAAAAATGTCTAGGTCACCGTGTTTAGCACAGCTCATTACTTCAGCCAACTGATTCTATATATTTAAGAGAGTGTAAACTGATTTCATGTGAGCTTTTTAATTAAGTGGATAGAAAGCGGTCTAGTCACACTGGAACCGGGTTGATTTTGGGGGCTAGGAAAGCCTGTTAAGGAAGCGTGGGCAGTTAATATGTACTTCACCACCAAAGTTGCATTGTACAGTGCCCCAAGAGCAGTGATTGGTTAGGACCAGACCCAGGCAAGCATTTAAATTTCAGAAGGTTCAAAGGTGACAGGGAAACCTTCCATCAGACTTGTCGCAATCATTTGAGATCTCAAAGGTAGTGTCTTTCTTGGAAGTCAAGGTAAGGAATCACTGAGTTTGATCCTCGCCTATTTCATTTCTGTTAGAACAACAGAGAGGACTCAGGGTATCTTAGAGGTTAATAGATTTATTGGGACATTTGCTTTCATTGACTAGAATCCAATTTAAAATATAAGATGCAGCATAATTTAGATAACTTGTTATATGAGATGAGATGCATGTCAACATGTTAAGGAGAAAATACTGAATAGTCATACTGAATATACAATAATGTTGTAGTTAGAAGGTTTGAATGACTTTGAAGAAAAGCTCTTGTTAAATTCTACAATGTGCATATCACAAGGCTTTGGAAATACATTCATAACTCAGACCAGCCTTGTCTGGGGAAGGATTGTGGGGGGGAAAGAAAAAGCAAGAGATACTCACCTATCTGACCTATTTTCATTCACTGTATATGCTGTGGCATCCAACTACTTCCAGTGAAGAGGTGAAGTATCTATCGCAAGACTAAAATGTTTCAAATTAAACTTGAAGAATATCACCTCACACTTGACGGAAAGCAGTAGGCTGTATATAGCTTGTTAGTGTACTAGGGTAGGTTATTTTGTAGGTAAGTGTGCTAACTTAGCATATTAGAAGAAGCAAATTAAGCTGCCATATACATTATTTTGGAAGGGAGAAACTGTTAATGTGCACATACCAGTTGCATCATATCCATGATATGAATTGAAGCAATGTGTATCTTCAATGAAACGAGCCTCAAAAAGTTTATTTTGGAGCTTCTGAGAATGAAGTTCTTCCATATCGCTAAATCAATCACATCTTTATACGTGACATCATGGAATGACATCAAAGATGGTGACAAGGTGTTGGTCCTCCTGCTTACTTAGAGTAATTTACAGGGCTTCAGAATATTAATATTTAAAGTCTTTTAGTGAAAAGTGTTTAGAAAATAGCAACAGCAGCAATGATAATAACAGCAATCTGTCCTCTATACCCAATATGTTTCTAAAGAGGTTAACACGTAAAATGCACCTCAATAACATAATATAGTGTTTTAGTTAATTAATTGTGGTTCATGTTAAAGCTTTAGTTCAGCTAGAGTATAAGCAAGAGCAAAATGGCTATTTTGATCAATCACACATTTATAAATAGAAAAAAAGACAAATGCGTTTTCAGCAGCTGTTGACAGAAATTGAGGTTAACAGAACTAATTGAGAAGGGGTTGCTGGACAAGGGGTTGCTGAGATTATGAAAATGGAAAGGATTAGGTCCCAATAAAACAGAAAAATATGCTGTAAATCAGTACTCTTGAACAGTTTACAGAGGGAATAACACTGGATTGGTAATTTAGTCTCTTATCTTTACCTTTAATAATCTACTTTCACTACCATTTTTTTTTTAAAAAAACCTTGGGTTAAGGGTTGGTGAGGAGAGATCCAACAAAAATCCCAGAATTCAAAGCATGTTCTCTGAACAAATACTGGTGGTCCGCTGTTGGGGAAGGGAAAGCATGGGATAGAGTATTATTTATTTTTATGTATTTCATTTCTATCTCGCCTTTATCCAGAGAAGAACTGCGGGGCATTCACATGCAGAGTGTAAAGACAGT